TTTTTTTTTTTTTTTTTTTTTTTTTTTTTTTTTTTTTTCGGGAAACAGACTCCAAAGATGGGAATTCCCTTTATACGTACCGTCTTCCCCCGAACATAACGCACCCTGATAATGAATGTATTTTCAAAGCTGTATTTTTCAGGTCAGATACAGCCAAAATAAGGGTGCGTTGTGTTCCGGGGAGGGGGGAAGACAGTAGTCCCCCTTCCGAACTTGCGTCTATACCCAGGGAATGGCCTGTGGAAATTATGTCCATGCCTTTTCTGATTCATTTGTTCCATTCTGTATCTGGGACGCTGGACCCGTTTTCCAGCAGGTGATGCTCCCCACCAATAGATGGAGTCTCTGCGCAAGGTGCTACTGGTGTCTGCTCTTATCAGCACCACTAGCACTAGAGGAGCTGTTTGGAAAAAAAAAAAAAAAAAAAAAGAGGTGACACCGTGACACTGAATTGCGGTTATACGTGCCTACCGGAATGCTCAAATTATGGACATGCCCCCAGGCAAATTATATGCATAGTACTCTATTTGGCCTGCCCAGTTCCTGTAACGAGGCCCTGTCGCCGTGGAACTGGGTTAAAAAAAAAAAAAAAAAAAAAAAAAAAAAACAGTGGAACTGGGTACAGTGATGAGGTAGCACGTGGGAGAAGTGTGGTATTACCTTAAACCACCAGTACTTGGCCCAGCTATATGCCGCGGGAAAAAATAGAGTAGAAACGTTTCTAGTTGGATGAATTTGGGCGCTCCTGTAGTGGCCGGTATGTTTCCTAAAATTGGGTAGCGGCACGACTTTAGGGAGTACTGGTGGTTTAAAGCACCAGTTACTGCACATGGGGACCTGGGGCGTGGGTCTGACACCTCAAAATCTGGAGGAGGGACACGAAAACGGGGCCGCCGATCGAATTTATCAAAAGCGGGACAAGTGTTTGACGTTTAGGTCTCCGTGTCGTTTTCTTGTGGAGATAAGTTTCGGATTGCAAGGCAGGGGCCGTGTACTAGCGGTTTAAACCACCAGTACACCCGGGCCTGGAGGAGCCTTACTACGGGCCAAGCTGTTCCGGAACCACCAGCAGCACACTTCTTTAAATATTCTTTTTTGGTTGGCACCGCCAGCTAATGTGGTCCAGTAGTCTGAGCCATTGCTATAGTGCGGTGGCAATGATGAAGAGCCCTGCCGATCCTGAAGGGACCGGTCTGCAGTACAGGCATCTGTGGATTTTAGTTGTGAAAAAATAAAAAAAGGAGATTCTTCTTTTCTATATAAAAAGCAAAAAGCAAAACAACTTTAACAAAGAAAGAACAGTGATACTTTGCGCTAGCGCTAGCGCCTGACGTCTGCAGACCGGTAGGCCCGGTTCCCCGGCTCGACTAGCGCCTGGGAAGGTGAGCTCCCAGGCTGCTAGGCCTGTGCGCGCGCCCGGCAGAAGCACGTGGCTTTTTGATTGCCATGTGGCATCTGCTGGAGGTGACGTGGGTGTCCGTGACGTGCGGGCAGGGGTAGCACCAGCGCTCAAGAAAGACGACGAATAGCAATAGGTGGCGCAGCAATCTGGGCAAGTGATGGAGATGGAGTGGGAGCTACAACATGGAGCACTTCTACTGGAGGATATGCTCTTCGATAACGAAGACGACGTCTCGCCTGCAGAGGATGCTGAAGGTGGGGCAAGGTGATGATGACGTGCTCCGATATTATACAAATATCTGCGCTGTGTGTGAGAACTGGGAAACTGAAAGTGAGACGAGCTGTGATGTTGCTGTGCGTGAGAGCGACGAGCATGAGGTGGGGGCAGGAGAGTGGTGGGTTAACCTGGTGGCACTCTCTTATCAGGTTGAGGATGAGAGCGCAGTCGTCGATGGAGAGAGGGAATCTGCCACTGATGATGCAGGTGAGTGGGAAGCGGAGTGGGGGCTATTGGCAACGGTGGAAACGGCGGCAGCAGAGGCAAATACAGCAACAGGAACAACAACAGCATCAACAACAACAACAATGGAGGTGGAGCAGGGGCTTATGGCAGAGGCGGTGGTTGTCGTAGAGGAGAGGCAAGGAATGGGCGAGATCGGCGAGAAGGGTGGGATGGCCGACAACAACAATGACAACAACAATAATAACAACATCAACAACAACGGCGAGCAGCGAATGGGCGAACTGGACGAGACGGGCCTGAAGGAGGATAACAACAACAACAACAACAATGAGATGGAGGAGATGGGATAGAACGATGACAGCAACAACAACAACAACAACAACAACAACAAAGACGGTGTCACTGAAAACAATGAGATGGTTGAGATGGGAGAGAACGATGACAAAAACAACAACAATAGTAATAATAACAACGACGGTGAGCAGGGATTGGGGGAGATGGGCGAGGAGGGTGAGAAAGATGACAATGACAGCAACAACGACGGCGATAACAACGACAACATTGTCAACAACAACAACAACAACAAGAATAATAGCAACAAGAACATCAAGAATCACGACGACGGCGGTGGCGACATCCACCCGAGCAGCGGGGTAGAGAGTGGTGTTTGTGGATCCAAGCTCCTTATCAGCATCATGGAAAGATGCTGTCATCAGCGCAGTGGGGGGGGAATAGTAGCTTGTTGGGGCTGGCGAAGTGGGGTTTGAGGTTGAAGGTACGACTTACAGTTCCCCCCCACCCCTACCTGGTGTTTTCTCGTAATGATTCGTGTCTTCTTTTCTGGCACCTGGTGGGGATAGGATAGATGATCTCCCTGAGATGATTAGTGCAGTGGGCCATCTTCCCTGGCCTACAGCCAGCGCCTATTCGGCTATTTGCCAGTTTGGCCTGTGGGACCAGGCCGTGGCCTGACCCCACAGGCCGTGTACTGTTTCAGTCCAGTCCAGTCCTGCCCAGTACCACTGTCGGTACCAGGCCAGGCCAGTCCAGTCCAGCCAGTTTGCTGGGGGTATACCCCAGGTGCAGTCTGTATTCAGGTTCATTCTGCATTTGCACACTTTGGAGTACATGCGTGTTGAGTCTGCGTCGGAGCTGCGCTGCCCCTTCCAGCTCCATCTCCATCTCCTCCTTCCTCAACCTTCTGTGTTGATCCTGATGGACTGCCATCCCAGTGGGTCCGTCACACTGGTATCATAGCGGGAACGGTCCCTACTCCAACCTGCCCTCCGTCCCGTAACAGTGGGAAATTGCTGTAATCCCGATAGCGGGATTTTCAGGGTTTTTCAGGGCAGAAACGACGAAAAAAAACAGTGAAGAAAAGCAGCAGCATGGAGAGGTGGACATGTGGCGAGAAAGGAGACTACCATGACGACACACGCGCACAAGCGCCAAGGCCGTTGCACATGCACACGCTGCCCTGCTGCCCCGCCCTGCCCCACTCTCAAATTATATATCATCAAGATCCGAAATGGTGCTGCTAGGATTTGAACCTCGGCAGCTGCCACTCATGCGTGTGCGTGGCCAGTGCCTTAACACACTGGCCAAAGTCACAATCTGAGATAATATTGTCGCTCACAGATGTTGAACAAATGCCACAGCAGCTATTTACCACCCCCCCCCC